TTAAGAGCTGAAAGGACATGCTACCGATAAGGAGAAAGCATTTTAAAGCTGCGCATATCACAGGGACATGCTTTCTACACTATAGAAAGAAACACCAAAACTTCATAGTTACAAAGTACGCAGAATAGGCAGGTATAGAAGAACAGGCAGTGATGAGACATTTTACCGAGAAGGCGCATGTGGGAAATCAGCTTCAGGAATGCTGCGCAGTCGCTCCCGCGATGGGGCAGCGCTGCATGCTTACTGAGAAGAACTAGAATAAAAAATACCGGCAATGCCAAATGCTGGCTAGAAGGCTCAAAAACTGAATTTCTCAAACACTGATAGAAGGCAAAATGGTAAACTCTCGCTAGAAAATAGTTTGGCAATTCCTTGATAAACTAAATATTCGTTTGCTACAGGATGCAGCAATTATGGTCCACGGCATTTACACCAGAGAAATGAAAACTCATTTTCACACAAATGCTCGTAACAACTTCTGGACCCAAACCGGAAGCATCCAAGGTGTTCTTCAATAGGCAGTTAAACAAAACTGTGGTACACTCATACTATGGAATATTACTCAGTAATAAAAAAGAATGCTTGAATGGTTTTAAAAGATATTATGCTGAGTTTTTAAAATGCCAGTTTCAGAGAGCCACATACTGTGTGATTCTACCTAGCTCATGTTCTTGGATGACACAAGCATGAGTGAAGAAGACATCAGTGATTGTTAAGTGTTCGGATGATGTGGAGGAGGGAGTTATAACTACAGAGATTGTGTTGCCTAAAAATAACACCTACCTGGAGAATAAACTTCAGCTATGAGTAACAGCTGGTCACTACCATGGCGATAGCTGGTGTCGTGCAGAAAATTATACCTCACTGTCTGCTTGCTTGGTGGCTACTCTGAAATCGCAGCTATGGAAAGAGCAGGTTGGTTGAGGTTAGCATTTCTGACATCTGGTTAGGTCTTATTTTTGGAGAAACATGGAATGATCACAAAAGAGATCTCTGTAGTAAAGAAATAGAATTTGTACTTAATTACAGTCTCTACAAATGTAAAACATAGGCATAAAATCACACATACACACACACATATTATACCAATGTCAGTCTAGACTTTGGTGTTGTACTGTGATTATTTAGGGGATATCCAATGGTAAAACTGAGTGAAGCGGTGGTACATTTTCCATTTCCTATCAACTTATAATTATTTAAAACTAAAAGTTTTTAAAGCAGCTTTCTGGGTGAAATCCTTACCCCTCACAGGATCAAATGTCAGCCAAGATTAGGGACAAACAGGGATTCATTCATTGCTGACATGAACACAACACTGTACATCTGTTTCGGAAGAGACAACAGTAGTTGACTGCAAAGTTAGACACACTCTTAAGTATAAATCAGAAGCTGCACTCTTCAGTATTTACCCAAGTGAGTAAATAACTTCTGACTAGGTCAAAACTTATACTGACATTTTTAGCACATTTACTCATAATTTCTCAAAATTGGGAGCAGCCAAACTACCCTTCAATAGATAAACTGCGGTCACCCATAGAGTACTATTCAGCATTCAGGAGAAATACACTCTCAGGCTATGGAAAGACACAGAGGCAACTTACGTGCATGCAGCTAAGTGAGAGAAAGCAGTGTGTGAAAGCTCTGTCCTCTGTGATTGTAACTATCCAACACCCTGGAAAAGACAAAGCTGCGGAGCCCAGAAACAAAGGAGTGGCTGGTTCCTGGGGGCGGGAGGGGAGGGAAGAGCTGGTAGCGCACAGCGCATGTTGCAGGCAGTGACACCATTCTGCCTGACACCGCAAGGGTAGATGTATGACTTGAAGTGTTTATTGGACTAAATAAGCCTAATGACTTTGGGCATTCATGATAATAAGTATAAACATTGACTTATCAATACAGCAAGTACCCTACACTTAGAGATCATAATCGTAGAAACTGAATGGGAAGTGTGGGGGAACGGAATGTGCGAACTCAATCTGCAAATTTTTCATAAATTTAACAGCACTGGAAAAGAAAAGTATGTTAAAAAATTGCTTACTTATATGGGAGGATGTGAATGTTTTAATTCCATACTTAGCTAAGTTTTATTTGCATTCTTTTTTATTTTTAATGTATTTGGTACAGGGTCTCACTACACAGCTCCGACTCGTAATGATCCTCCTGTTTTCAGCCTCGGCAGTGCTGGGATTACAGGCGTGCACCGCACGCCCAGACTAGGTTGCCAGGTCAGTGCGCCTGGAGGTGGGGCTGGCTCGGCATGTGGTGCTGGGGATCGAACCGCGTCCCTGGGCTTGCCGAAGCAGGCACTTAGTCCCCTGAGCTATCTCGCCGACCCTTATCTAAGTTTTAATGTATTGTCTATCGTGACTTCTGTTTATTTCAGAATAAAACTATACGACTCGGCCTATTCTACCCTCAACAGTCTCCAGACTCTACTTTCTCTTTCTATAAGTAAAAACCATTTTAGGCGTACTACAGGGGTTGATACATTGTGTCCTCGCGGCTAGCTCGGCTCTGCAGTTTTACACCCTGGGCCTTGGGGGCTCAGGGAGGACCTGCCCTGGGGGGGAGGACGCGCCCCAGAGTGCCGCTGCGCAAAAAGGGCGTGTAAAGGAGGTGAGGAAGGCCTCTGCGCCTGGCGTCCTTGGAGAAGTCCGGGTCTGGGTCGCGCCGCTTTGCGGCTGCGCCGCTTCAGGGGAGCCTGGTCTTCGCAGCGCACTGAGCGCAGCGCCAGCCTTCGCGGCCCGCGCAGCAGGAGAGGCCTGGCGCACGCACGCACGCACGCACGCACGCACGCACGCACGCCGCCGCGGCGCCGCTCCTCCCCCGCTCGCTGCTGTCTCCGCCGCCGAGAACTGCTGCCCTCCGCCGTAGAGCCGGCGCAGTGCAGACTGCAACCTCCACAAACCGTGAGCTAAGTGAACCTCTCCTTCCTTCCTTTTGAGCGTCCGGTATTTGTCCCTGCAACGAGTAAAAAGTAAGTGAGACACAGACTGAGTCCTGGCTTGTGGTTCTTCGTTGTGCTTCTTTTATATTTGTACCATAAAGAGGTTGAAGTGTTAAGAAAAGCGGTGCAATGTGCAGCTTCAGCCGCGTTCTCACCAGCCGGTTCTAATTACTTGCTTCTGTCTTCCTTTAGCTTTCACAGTGACTCACTGTAGTGAAAACTGACATCAATATTTACGTGAAAAATCTGAAGTAGCATAAGAGACGCTGGTGACCACGTCCCTGGCCAGTGACAGCGAGACGAGGGTCAAGTCTTATCCCGGTGGCGGCGGCGGCTGTCCCTCAGTCCTCTTAGCGGCCCCCACCGCTGGTCTTCATGCTGCCGGTCAGCCCAGGATTCTTTCGCTGCGTTCAGGTGGAGATCACGAGTCCGAAAGGTGCAGTTCTGCCAGCAGTCCTGGTGTCGCCAGATGGCCCCGGATTGTGCTGGATGCCAACAGTTGATCCAGCCAGCAGCTCATCACTCCGCCGCCAGCTGTCACCAGCTGGTACTACCTGGAACCGGGTGCCATAGGTCACCTCCAGCAGACGTGGTTCTCTGCTGCTGGCCTTCACTAGCTGCTGGTCTCCGGGGCTCTTCGGTGCTGTCAACCCGTCACGTGTATCCTGCTTTTCTTTAAGTGATCAACACGACTCGAGAAATAAACCATCAACAGGCCACAGGACCATCAGGGCAAGTCTATTTCCACAGGCCCGTGGGCAGCCCATGGCGGTCAGTACCCGAGAAGCTGTCCCAGACTAGCCTGAGACGTGTGAGGGGGGCACGCTTTATACAGTAGCTGCGGGCCTGTGACCGGTCCAAGGGCAGGCCCCTGACTGGCGCAAGGTTCCAGGACAGCCTCAGCAGCCCCAGCTACGATTCAGTGAAGGGACAGGGCTGAAACCTGGGAATCACCTGGACGACTGTCTGTCTGTGGAGGCTGGACGTATGAATGGTGGACCCACATCCCTGCCTCCCGGGTCTCAGCCGCACCAGGCGCCCCCTTTCCCCTCTTCAAAAAGGCAGCGGTAGCCTCTGAAACAGCAGAGCAGAGGAGGAGTGCCACTCTGATAGTGGAGCTGTGCTCATCTTGGAGAGGACGGGCGAGTGGCTGCTAGAGAGCCGGAGGGACACTGAGGCACGGTTGTTCCAGTCCATCTGAGGGAGGGGCACGTGCTCAAGGACCAAGCCACACCCCAGCCTTCGGGGGAGCGGGTGGCAGGCCGAGGTAGGAGGTGGGGGTGGAAGGTTGGGCACCTCTGCTTGGTCTCTTTCCTGATTTGTGGTAGATTATGTCACCATTTTAGACATAAATGCCGGCATAGTTTCACAGACAAATATCAACTCACTGTATTTCAAATATTCTTTCCCTCATTTTAATGGTATTATACTGCTCCCCTACTTTTACCCAATTTTTCAACTCAAGTCACGTCTGCAAATATGATATGGCTCCAAGGATGAATCAGACTATTCTAGAAATAAAGCAGATGTGCAAAGCGACATCTATAGAAGTCCCCTGGTAATGCCAATCTTTGATGCCCAGTTGCATTCCTGATTAAGTAGGGAATAAGTGATGCTGATATGAGTGTAAATCCTGACAACTATGCGGACCTTTGCTTCATCCTGCTCCACACTCCCCTGCTATCTGCTCCCCTCCATCTCTCTAACTCATCGTCAGAGGCTAACCCCTGGGATTAGAGATTCACTCAGCTGAAGATGCAGGCACATCATTGACTCAAGGCTCAAAAGCCGACAGGGATCTGGGATCTTGTTGCTCAGCAGAGATATCACAAAAACAAAAGCAAACCCAATCGCAGGAGGATTTCTAGCAGCAGGACGGTCTGCAGATACTCGGAGGAAAGACAGTCCACGAGCCAGGGATTCTGATTAACTCCACAGCTTAAAATACATTTCAACGTTCAGGTATTTCAAGTAGCTGATCACATCTGTTTCCCAGACCCCCCCCCCAAATCAACTAGCTCAGACACTGAAAACTCTACCACAATTCATTAAATTACTTTATTATGTGTATAAAATTCAGTTTGGAGAAATCTCAAGTGATAAGCAATGACTGTATCCATGTAATAGAAATTTACGTAGTAGAAAGACACTTGGAGGATTTATTCCGGAGGACTTGAACAGTGATAATGAAACAAAGAGAAATGGAGGGGACACAAATGCAGGACGGAGAACTAGATAGGAAGCCCAGCTGGATGTCAGCGCGTGGAGGGGCTGGGGAAGGCATCGCCACGCTGGCCCTGAGGGCTGGACAGTGTGCAGATGGACATTTTCGTGGAGATGGACAGGTGGAACGCTTCTGGTTTCAGAAAGGCATCAAGGCGGAGGTTTCTTCGTTGATCTTCTCTTTAAGGACGGCCATCCCCTGTGGTGGAACCCACATAGTTACCAAGGAGTTCAAGGTGGATATTTTGAGTCGCTTCCTGCAGAGAGCTTTCTCTTAATGGGTTTCCTATGGAAAAGCCTCTTAATAGTGGTCTGATCTTTCGTAAAGATATTTCCAACATGAGCTGTAAACCTACACCTACTCTGCAAGTGAGCATGAAGGAGCATCCATTCTTTATTTTTAGGTTTTTTGAAAGCACTTTTCAGACTGGAGGATAAAAAAAAAACATGAGCATTGGCCTGAAGAGATTTCTGTTTCATGCACTAAATTTACCACAACCCCAAGGGATCTGCACTCTGGAAATGCTTCTGAATTGACAGGAACCCTCAGGAAATACACCCTGGAAAGTATGCAAACTCTACACGCTTACACTCCTAACTCAGTGAAATGCAGTATTTCAGTGGGAAAAAAATGGCCTTAGGAGCTGGAGGTCATTTCTAAGATTTATTCAGTTTGTGCAAAGGGATGACAGCTCCTTTGGGGAGCATCAGGACAATGCCAGTGTCTAATTTGTTGCAGAGACACAACCTGCCCTACCCTTGCCTCCCCATGGCATCAGATGTCCCGTTCTGCGTCTGGTCCCCTCCCCCATATCACTGCATGTGTGTCTTTCTCTGACCACATCCAACCCACCTTCACGTGGCTCAGAGAGGCCCTTGGGCTCTCGCAGCACTCCTTTTGCGCATGCCCTTGATGATCAAGACAGTCCCTGCAGTGATGCCCACCAGGCCCACAATCAGGCCCAGGGCACACACCACATTCTCTGTGGTCTCAGAGAGAGGGCTTCGCTCTTCAAACTCTGGGGAGAAATGAAATGGGCAGATGGTAATGAATGTGGTAGGGAATAGCCTTCGGATCAAAGGTACGCAAGCGCGTAGCTACTGATACATTAAAGAAGGGGAGGCCAGAATGCTGCACTGAGAGGAGTGCAGAGGAAACTTCAACATGACGAGGGCTAAGAACCCTGCATACCCCAGTGCTTGAGAAGAGGTTGGTCCAAACCCAGGTGCTCCACTTTGCAGTCATAGAAATCCTCAGTGGAGGGCAGGAAGGCGAGATAATGGAACTTGCGGAACAAGTTGTCTTCCCTGGGAAGCACGACTGTGGATGACACTCCTGTGTCAACAGGCTTTCCATTTTTGAGCCATGTGACACTGATCACCGGAGGGGAGAATTTGTCAACGAAGCAGATGAGGACATTGGGCTCTCCCAGTTCCACAGGGCCGTGGGACAGCACAGTTACCTCAGGACGCACTAGGAGACACATGACAGAGGTTAGCCTTCAGCCCTTCAGCTTGCTCCTCTGCCTCTTGCACTGATTGGCTACACAACCACCTAATGATTCTAAAACTAAAGAACAAAGCAAAGCACAATAGTGAAAACTGCGCCCTGAGAAGTGCACGCCTGTTCTCAGGTACGTAGCCCAGACACTTGCGAGGCAGTGCCAAGGAATGAGATTTCCAAAGCCCTCAGTCCTGGCTTCCCCATCATGGGCTCAGGGCGAGGCCTTTGTGAGTGATCATGGACGTGAGAGAGCACATCTAGAAAAGCACAAATTCATGCAGTCCATGGCATGAACATTTGTGGTTTGCTTATGGTAGGCTCAGAGGGCTGGGAGGGAAAGTGGTAATAATATAAGAGAAATTGCTGTTTTGAATCTATGGGTTTCAACACCTAGGAGTGCACAGAGAGAGGTACCATTGGTGTCCGGAGTGTTGTTGGAGCGCTTCATCATGATTTCCAGATTGGCTTTGTCCACAGCCATATTGGCCAGCGCTCCTGAAGCCTCAAAGCTGGCGTACTGTCCGAATTCTTCAAGCCTCCACACTGTCTGCTGTTTTTCTAAGTCCACATGGAAAATCTCGTCACCATCAAAGTCAAACATAAATTCTCCCACATCATCAGGGTACAAGTAGAACTCTGCCTGGATGATCTTATGTTCCTCTGAAAAAGCAGAAGGGGGAATTAGCATAGGAATCAGGAGAGGAAACTGAAGAGGATCCTACAGGTATGTGGACAGGATGCAGGGAAGAAGGGACAAGCCAGTGGGACTAGGAGGGTGGAGAGCAGAGATGAGTGGAAAGACAGGTCTGCGGGCGGGGCCCTGGTACTGAAGAACGTGCAGAGGGAAGCGGGTGTGGAAAAGGCTGGTCAGAAGGAGATGGCAGATGACAAGTTCAGAGTCTTGTGACAAGGGCCGGCCAGATAGCTCAGTGGACTAAAGAGCCTGCTTCCGCAGAGCTCAGCCGAGGGTTTGGTCCCTGGTGTCAGCCAGCCCCATGCCAGCCCCACCCCCAGGGTGCACTGAGACAGCGATTGAGACTGGGCGTGGTGTACCCCTGTAATCGCAGCACCTGGAAGGCTGTAAACAGGAGAATCACTGTGAGTCGGATCTACCTAGTGAAACCCTGTACACCCTACACACCCTACACACCCTGTCCTAAATTCATTAAAAGAAAAAGAGTTTTGTGGCACTGCTACCTGGCTTCACGTTACTAGCAGAGAAATGCTTTTCTTTTTAGAAACTCAACAACAGCCCCCAAGAGAAAATGCTCCCTCACTCTCCTTTACCCGGGCATAAAACACGCAAGCAGGAACCCAGAGTGTCTTTCTCCCAACAAGGTGCTCTCACGAGAGCGCTGCGCCTTGGACACTCTGATGCTCAAGCATTGCTTGAACTTCGGAATCACATAAAGTCTTGAATACTTGGGCTGGGACGTAGGTCAGCGGTGTGGCGCTTGCCCGCATGCATAAGGTCCTGCCAGCACCGCGCAACAAGATAAAACAAACAAGCAAGAACTCTCCATTACTTTACTTACCTAGTGATACTGGGTAGGTTATTCTACCATCTTGTGTGTAATATTCCAGTTATAGTTCTATTGGGTTTTGATTATGCTATAGTCTTGGTTTTAAAATTAAGTAAATGGAAGTGACTTCTTAGGGTATTATCAGGCTTCTGACAAGTACTGTTCACATTTTAAGCTTAAAAATTGGTTTGTATATAAGGATTAGACAAATATAATTTGGGCTTGAGGCACCCTGTAAATGAAGATCTGATTGTACTCTAGAACATCTACTTTCTTGGATCAACCTTGGCAGCTTGACCTTTTGTTTATTTGGGCTTTTTGTTTGGTTGGTTGGTTGTTTGGTTGGTTGATTTTTTTTCTTTCTTTTTTTTTTTTTTTTTTTTTTTTTTTTCTTTTGTAGTAGGGACTGAACTTGGGACCTTGTGCTTTCCAGGCACGCAGGTATGTCACTGAGCTATATCCTTGGTCCTTAATGCTTCTTATAATAAGACTGTGATTACAAGACCTATTCTGATTGGAACTGAGTATGACCCATATCAAGAGAATAATCAATTTGAAAAAGAAAATCTAGAACTGGAGGGTGTGCAGCGCCCATGTGTGTAGATGAGAGGGGAGGATTTCTATACTTAGTCTTCAGAGAAAAGGTGAGGGATGTTAATGTTTAACAACATATCGACAAGCCAAGAAATTCACTCAACATTTTGGATTTAGGCACAAACATAGACGTCCTGGCTTTCCCTGGGGAACAAAACCTTTACCTTCTTTTAGGTAAGCATGACTGTCTGGGGCCCCTTCTGGGCCTCACAGTGGCCCTACGGTTCTGGCAGCCGAGTCATTACTTTGTTTCTACCCCACCTGCACCCCAGGAGAGACTCAGGGCGAGAAGAGCGCTTCTTCGCAGTATATATCTGCAGCAGCTCACGTGTTTTCTCTACAGATGGCAGAGAACGGCATCCGACTTTCTACATGTTCATTGTTCTATTCTTAGAACTATTCCCAAGTAACAGACTGCAGACCACATGAAGTCCATTGCGGCATCGTGTGGGGGAAGGAGAGCCGTCACCATCCTGAGACACAGTCAATTGGATGAGACTATATCGCTATTCCTGTCTTCCTCCCTCCCTTGGGCAGACTCTTGCTTCTTCTTTTTTTTTCTTTCTTTTTTTTTTTTTTTCCAGGACTGGGGATTGAACTCAGGCCCTTAGGCTTGCCAGACAAGTGCTGATTCTACTGAGCTATCTCCCTGGGCGCCCCCTTTTTTAT